ATTATTTTCCCCCAAGCTTTTTTTGAAAAAAAATTTTTTTTTTGAGACAGAGTCTTGCTCTGTTGCCAGGCAACAGGCTGGAGTGCAGTGGCGTGATCTCAGTTCACTGCAACCTCGACCTCCCGGGTTCAAGCAATTCTCCTGCCTCAGCCTCCTGAGTAGCTGGGACTACAGGCTCGCACCACCCCGCCTGGCTAATTTCTTGTATTTTAGTAGAGACGGGGTTTCACCATGTTGGCCAGGATGGTCTCAATCTCTTGACCTCATGATCCACCCTCCTCGGCCTCCCAAAGTGCTGGGCTTAAAAGTATGCCACCGTGCCTGGCCCTGGGACTTCTTTTATATGTGGCACTAATGCCATTTATGTGGGTTCCACCCTCATGACCTAAACCCTTTCCAAGGCCTCACCTTCTAATACTATCCCATTGACTAAGTTTCAACATATGAATTTGGTAGGGGAGACACAAACATTCAGATTTTAGCACTGCTCCTCTGGCTCCCCAAAATTCATGTCCTTCTTGCATGCAAAATATATTCATCCCATCCCAATAGCCCCTAAAGTCTTAAATCATTCTATCAGCCTACGCTTGTAATCAATCCAGCACTTTGGGAGGCCGAGGTGGGTGAATCGTTTGATGTCAGGCGCTCAAGACCCGCCTGGCCAATGTGGTCAAACCCTGTCTCTACTAAAAATACAACAAAATTAGCTGGACATGGTGGCACAGTCCTGTAATCTTAGCTACTCAGGAGGCTGAGCTGAGAGGATCGCTTGAACCCGGGAGGTGGAGGTTGCAGTGAGCCGAGATCACAACTGCACTGCAGCCTGGCTGACAGAGCAAGACTCTGTCTCAAAAAATAAAATAAAATAAAAATAAGACACTGGTAAGACTCAAGATACAATTCCTCCTGAAGCAAACTGCTCTCTAGCTGTGAACCTGTGAACTCAGACCAAAATACATTGATGGGACAGGCATGGGACAGACATTCCAGAAAAGAGAAATAGGAAGGAGGAAAGGGGTGAGAGATCCGAAGCAAGTCTAAAACCTTACGTCTCAGGAACAATCTTTGACTCAAGGCTCTGCCCTCCAGGCCCACTGGGGGCTGTGCCCTGCCTTCTGGACCCACTGGGATGGAAGTCCTGCCTCCACGGTTTGACCCCCAAGGCTCTGAGTGTTCTGTTCCCACAGCTTTGCTGGGTGCAGCTCATGCCACAGCTCTCATGGAGTCATGTACCTGTGGCTGTCCCAGGCTGGCATCACGCTCTGGTGGTGCAACTGGTCTAGAGTCTCAGGGTGGCCCCACCCCTGCAGGCACCCCACACCCATAGCTCCACTGAGCATTGCCCTCGTGGGGGCTCTCCACAGAGGCCCTGCTGCTGCCTTGCTTTTCTGCCAAGGCCCTGAGGCCTTCTGGGGGCATCCTTTGAAACCTAGGTGGAGGCAGCCACGCCCCCACAGCTTGGCTCGGCACAGCACACCCCAAACCAGGGCCCACTGGAGCAGCCTCTGGGGTGGCTGAGGAGGTGGAAATGGAGTGTGGAGGGCAGAGTTGAGAGGCAGTGGCAGCCAAAGTCCCACAGACATCTGTGGCCCCTCCTTTGACATTGCTCAGTCCCCTGGGCCCTGACACAAGGGGCCTATCATGGGAGGAGCAGCCCCAGTCATCTCTGAAATGTCTTTGGGGTCCTTCTTTTTTTGTTTTTGTTTTGAGACAGAGTTTTGCTCTTGTTGCCCAGGCTGGCACAATCTCGGCTCACTGCAACCTCTGCCACCTGGGTTCAAGCGATTCTCCTGCCTCAGCCTCCCGAGTAGCTGGGATTACAGGCATGCGCCACCCTGCATGGCTAATTTTGTATTTTCAGTAGAGATAGGGTTTCTCCATATTGGTCAGGCTGGTCATGAACCCCCTGGCCTCAGGTGATCTGCCCGTCTCAGCTTCCCAAAGTGCTGAGATTACAAACACAAGCCACCATGCCCGGCCTTTTTTTTTTTTTT